CTCCTAAGACCTATTGAAATAAAATTTAAAAAGTCGAAAAACAAATTTTTTCGTAGATAAGGGAACATGACAACGAACCTTACCTGTCTGAATTGAAGAAAAAAATGCTTGATCACGTAGAATATATATGAGAAAGAAAAGGAAAAAAACCTTCCACGTTTAAAATAGGAGAGGAAAAAACCCACAACATACACACATATTCGATAAGAAAGAAGAAAAACTATATTTCATACAATAATAATTTTATCCCTTGAAGTTATTTTTACAATCTGTTTTACGATTCTTCTTAAAACAGCAATACAGAATTCCGAATAAATTATGTATATTGTAAAATTTGTTTTTCAGTAATTCAATAACTTCAAAGAAATACTTTGATATTAATTAGACAATTAAATAAATCGACGCAATAAATTATGCTTGAATAAGAACGAAACTCGATATATATGAGTGATTCACATGAATTATGGGATTTAATTTATGATGAATATAATTAAAATAAAAAATAAGTTTGACATTTTGTTTGTAATTAGAATCTGTTCATGATGCATCTGTGATATTGCATACGATTATGTTAAAAATTGAAATTAATCTCAAAATTTATGATTGTATTGGTAATATTTGATTTATTTCAGGTTGCTTTTTCCGATTGCAACGAAGATAGAAGATAGTATAAATGAATTGTTGACGAAATCGTTTTGAAACACAAATGTATATATAAAATGGATACTAAAACAGATATAAAATAGTTTATTATGAAAAAACTCTGTTCTATGAAGGTTAAAACGAAGTAAAAAATTCTTTCATTTTCATATTGTGTTTTACATAGGGGTACTTACTGCAGAATTTAAATAATAAATCGACGCAGTAGCATTGAATACTAATTTAAAAACAGCAGAACTAGTTGGATCATCAAAAGCATTTCCTACTACAGATATAAAAGATGCAATAAGATATGGTAAAAGGAAAAAGAAACTAAATATAATTTGAATTAAAACCATATTTGTTAATTGTTTGTCTAATTCTCGTCGAACAAGTGGAACTGTCCGATATGATATTTGTCGAACATTTCTATAAGCTAATATTCCAAATATAATTGATATTGTAAGTGGTAAAATACCACGTAAAATAAGATTATTTATATAATTATGATATCGATAAAAATTCTCATTTGAAAATTGACAAGTAATTCCATCAGTTGTTGAAGAAATTTCGAAATTATAAAAAATTAAATATGGAATACAATAAATAATCCAAAAAATACGTGATAATACACATAAACGATATGCTAATTTAATATTATTCCATTGTTGCCATCGAATATGAGAACAAGTTGCAAAAAATTGATCCATTGTTGCAAAACATAAACAAGTTAAAGAAATTAATGTAAATAATTCCAAACTAAATTGTCGAAATTTACAATAAAATAATGAAGTTAAAGTCCAATCCGTATTAAATCCTGTCATCATAACACGAGTTAATTGTCCTGTTATTAAATGGCCAATATTTACAAATGACATTAATGTTAAATAAAATGTACATGAATTTTCTCGAAATGTTTTTAAACTAACAAATATTATTATATTAAATATATCTCCAGTTATACCAAGAATAACTGTAGATATACCCATATATAAAACTATTGATCGTACAATATATGTTACATAAGAATTAAATGAAGATGACATTCTTAAAAAATAAAATTATATACAAAAATCTCTTATTCTTCTTAATGTAAATGAATGAATATGATATATATACGTATATATATAAATCTCAAGTCTAGCAAAAAGTCACGAAAGAGAAACTTTAAAAAAAATTCCTTAATTAATTCTGTATTTGATGTCTTTTTTTATCAGTTTGTTGATGAGATACATTGAAGTATTCTATGGTCACATACATGCACGATTGGCCCTAACCTTTTCCTACAAAAGAAAAATAATATAATTTGAAGTTTAAAAGTTAATGAATTTTATATCAAACTCAAGAGTGTCATAAACCGAATATATTAGTACTAAATAGTAATAGATATCAAAGTAATTATATGTCGAACTTGCAATATTTTGTACACTTTTAGTAAGATGCACGCAATGCAAAAAAGCAGTGAAATTTATTTTGGTTTTTTTTCCACATGGTTTGATAGAGCGTGAGCTCCTGATCACGATGAGCTACTTTTTATTCTATTTTTGAAGCTGTTTTGTAGTCAAAAATCGCAAAATCCCTCAGAAACCTGAGTTTTCTCGAAAACTACGTCTTTGAGGATAACATGCAAAAATCACGATGTTCCTGTTCTTGAAACTTTTTGAACGGTTTTTTTTCTAGATTCAGCATCAAAAACTGATCCTAGAAAGCGTCTGAAATTGGTATTAACTCAAAAATTTTTATAATAGTGGTATTTCTCATAGCTTCCACTACAGTACTAATAAGTGGATCTTGTAAACCTATCTAGTTTTTTTGTAGAGAGGTGGGGAGGCCAATTTTTTTATTTACCTTAATCCTCATAGCATCCTGCAAGAGACTACGCATCGCTTTTGATTTGATCTTTTTTCTTTGTGGAGAAAAGTTCACTTCACTGGTGGTATAGAAAATCGGGGAGGTCATTCGGATATAACACATCCATTTTTCGGTCAAATCGTATGAAAACTTTTTTCCAATGATAAAACTCGATGCAAAATCGAATGAGCCGCCTGCGAGGGTTTATAGT